ACAGGTAGATGGCGAATGGCCCCTCCCATAGGGAATAAAAGAGGAGCGAAAGGGGAGTGGAGTTTGCAGGAGACAATTAGTTCATTCCTGCATTCTTGCCAAGTATTGCGGTGTCTGAAAGATATTGGCCTGACCACTCTCCAAGCCTGATAAAGGCAAGTAATTGTGAACTTTCTTGAAAGATTGTGGGAGAGGAAAGACTTTGCTGGAGAGGAATTCACTGTAAAGTAAATAAAGAGTGTTTATCGGGACAAGGACTCGGCTTCGTGCTACTGGGGAAGCCAAGGTCAGAACAGGATTCCTGTTCTTTGATGGGGCCATTGAGATGTTAGTCCAAATTTAGGATTGTATGTTAATTTAAGGCTGATTGGCAGCTGGGCTGTTAAGCAGGGCAAGTCTGGTCAGAGGTCTTTTAAGTCGAGGCGCAGTGGTTAGGGTGCAGTACTGCAGGCCACTTCAGCTGACTGTTATCTGCAGTTCAGTGGTTCTAATCTCACCGGCTCAAGTACTACTCAGCCTTCCATCCTTCCGAGGAGGGTGAAATGAGGACCCAGACTGTGGGGGCGATATGCTGACTCTGTAAACCGCTTAGAGAGGGCTGAAAGCCCTATGAAGCGGTATATAAGTCTAACTGCTAATACAATAAATAAAGCTTCCATATACAACCACAGGCATTTCACCGTTCACGAAACTTTTGAGTAGTACTGCAACTTCACTCAGCTGGAATCTCTAAAACTAGCAGAAATGGGCTTCCTTCGCATTTCACGTACAGCTACTCCTTGACGTAGGACCATAATTGAGCCCCAAATTTCCGTTGCTAAGCAGGACTAAGCATTAAGGAAAGCTAAGCTAAGCGTCGGGAGGGAAAACTGTTCTTGTGCCTCGATGTCTTTATTTATTTCCAAATAAAGAAAAGGCTTATCAAAACAGGGCAACTTTAAGACTTGTGGACTTCCGCTCCCAGAATTCCTCAGCCGTGAAATCCGCAAGTCTTAAAGTTGCCATGTTTTGAAAGGCCTGAAATGAAATATTGATTTAAAGCGTTTCCTTCCATACACAGTGAAGCATCTGCAGCGGGCAGTTAAAAAGTCACTATGGCAGTCCCAACCGCACATTTTAAACCTTTTTGCACTATTTTTTTTAACACTCCACCGCAAATGATCCCTGCATGTAAATGAACTGGGACCAACACAATATTTCCCAACGCATTTTAAATAAGATTGGAAAGAAACACTTAGACCAGTGATGGCTAACTTTTTCCTGACCGAGCGGCTAAAATGCGCACTCCTGAATCCCCCAAATTCAATGCACAGCGCCCCATGCCCCTATGTGCACACGGGCATGCGACCTCCATGCATGCGTCCCTCCCGTAGCATTTTTTCAAACAGTAGCAGTTTTAAGCGCTAAATTGAACCGGCTAAAAAGATTGTGTGAAATTTTCCTCATAGTTGAGGCTTGATGATCATGGCTGTTTATTTCCTCCCCAGGCACAGCTGGAGGAAGACTAGCTGTCTTCTGTCATTCCTGACTTCTTTCCAACAATGATGTTGGCGAGATCCGGCCAGAAGCCCCACAAGATCCTTGGTCAATGTCCAAGATTTCATCATTTGGCTGATCGTTGCAAAAAAATAAAATAATGGGTGACCTCAGAGCAGAATGATTGAAAAGTACTGATTTAATCACCAAAGAGAGCCAGGCTGGGAAACCAGCTGCCCACCAACCAAAATCCATGCCAGGCATCGCACAGATAACCATCTTCGGCACCTGATTAGCCCCGGCTCGGTGGCTAAGACGCTGAGCTTGTCGATCAGAAAGGTCGATGGTTCGAATCCCTAACGCCGCGTAGCGGAGTGAACTCCCGTTACCTGTCCCAGCTTCTGCCAACCTAGCAGTTCGAAAGCATGTAAAAGTGCAAGTAGAAAAATAGGAACCACCTTTGGTGGGAAGGTAACAGCGTTCCGTGCTCCTTCGGTGTTTAGTCACGCCGGCCACATGACCACAGAGACGTCTTCGGACAGTGCTGGCTTTTCAGCTTTGAAACAGAGATGAACATGCCCCCTAGAGTTGGGAACGAGTAGCACATATGTGCGAGGGGACCCTTTACCACCATCCTTTTTTTTCATCTCTGTCTTTAAGCAAAACAAACAAACAAACAAACAAACCTCAAAATGCCCCATTAGGAATTGCACCATTGATCTGAATCCATCCCAAAACTGGAAATCTAATGAATACACCCTACAGGGCCTCAAAATTATTACCCTGAAGATGTCCTATAAGTATGGAATTGGTTCCAAATAAATAACCTTTGACTTTATGTTCTGACTGCGTTGAAACAGCTCGTGAAACTTTGCAAATGTTATTTTGAAAGATGTCAAATTTGCAACCATTGTATAATGGGGAACATTTTAATATTTAAAATTGCTAAGAAGAAAGGAAATCCACATTAAGAGGGAAGGGCTGAAGCCTCTTCTGAACTAGGCTTCCCAAGAGCATGAAGCGAACTCCTTGTCCCAACAAAAAACCCTTTTAGTAATTTACTGTGAATTCTGCTCGTTCACATCCAGAAAAGTCTTTCAAGGGAGGATTTGCAGTCACAGACCTTATCTGACTTGGACACCTGCCAGGCCGACATCTGCAAAACTTGGCAAGGAGTCTCGGAGAGTCACGAACCAATTAAGTGAACTAATTGTCTCCTGAAAACTCCACTCCCCCTTTGCTCCTCTTTTATTTCCTCTGGGAGGGGCCATTCATCACCCCCTTGTACCTTTACTCCCGAGTTGGCCCTTGTTCCTTAACTGTTCCCTTCTCCTGGCAGCTCTGTGCATGCGCACACTGGGAACAGGT